TGCTGGTTAGAAAAAGACAGTACGGGCCATGGAGACCCTACCTACATCACATGTACTACATTTTAATTACGAATGCGTAGTTTAATTACATAGTATTTTATTGAAGTCCCTGCAACATCCCATTCAGCTAGCTACTACCATAACTTCCCAAGATCATTCTACCTCCCGATGTGCTCCTTGAACAAAATACATCACTACATCATGAAAAACAGCTCCTATGATCTCGCCTGGTTACGGTACCCAAAACCAACAGAAAGGGTCTTAGCTTGGCTGTTGAAATATTTCGAAAGGGGTAAAAAGAACATTGTTAAGTGGGACATGTATGTAAACCACTTGTCATGTAAAAGGATCATGTAAAGAGTAGTATGTAAAAAAAGAAGCTGCCTGTCTTTCATCTCTAAGCTGTAAACACAGACAGTACGTGGTGCGGTTAGGGGTGGGAATCATCAGTACAGCGCCCTAACCGCCATATGATAGTGGAAATCACGACTGTGGAAGAAGAGATAAGAAGGAAGAATAAGAGGGAAGAAGAAAAAAGAAAAAGCAAGTGTTGAAAAACTAACAAAGAATGAACGCTACGCTACATCCAGTTAGTGTGGACGAGAAACAATTCACATATGGAGTCCACACCATGGTCATTGCAGAGCAGATACTTGCTGAAGATAATAGTGTTTCTATTCACAAATTTTTGGACACATCTTAAACTCTGTAAGTCATAGCCCCTTTCCAGGTAAGAGCTAAGTAACCGTCTAGTCCACCAGACGAGTCGCTCTAAAGAAGTACAGACACGGGAATATCGTAGCATTTGGGACATGACCTTCGTGAAGAATCTGATCAACGTCACTGTCAGGATCGTTGTAGTGACTGACCAGAAAAGGAAAATCAAGTACCTTGTTGTAAATGTCGAGGGCACATGCAGTGTCATGGCAAAAGATACCTAAATCCAAGAAGCAAGCCCTATGACCGTAGTGGGTGGTCTTAAAATCCAGCGTATCGCCATATATGTCTCGGGCAATGGCCGGAAAGGTGGAATAGTTAATTACTAAAATGTCATCAATGTAACGGAAAAGCCGTAAACTAAGATGTTTGTGTTTCTTTAAGTAGCAGTACTCCATAACAGAAAGGGTTAAGTCAGCAATATCGGAACTAGCATTTCCACCCATGGGTACGCCTTGAGTTTGATTAAAAATTGTTCCTCCAAAGCGAACATACGTCTCATTAAGGACCGCAAAAATGATTGATTTAACCTGTCGCAGTGTGTAATTGACGGTATTTTGGGGCGGTGTATTTGTAAATCAGCATTTTGTGCCAGAAAGCGCGAGTAAATCCTTTCCTGAATTCGAGAAGCATAAGTCAACAAGGGGCAATTCTGAATGTTAGAATGTGGCAAGCTGGTGAACAAATTACTAGAATCCGCACTGTACAAATAGTTAACCTCCTCGTTGAAGGCGGATATTTTATTAACCACATCCAAAGAACTACGAATGCTGAAGTTCAGGTTTTCTTTCGTTTGATTTTCTTTGTGCTGCTGTGTTTTCTCTTCCTCTTTAATACTGTCTCCAGTTCTTGTCTCAAACTCCTGACTAGTAACCTTGTTCCCCGACCCCAAATCTCGCCTTCATAGCGGCATCTGAGCACCTTTCTCCCACCACTTCAACCACTGCCATCATTAATCATTCCGAACTCATTACTAGCGTCCTCATCCCCTCCCTTTACCCTGCGCCAGTCCGCGCCACCAGGGCTACATCTAAGCACCCATCCACCGCACCCCCAAGCACGCTTACTCCTCACCTCGCGCTCCCGGCAAAGCGCCAAGCAGTACGGACGAGCGCACTGCCACGAAATAGCATTAACAGAGAAGCTGGAAAAAGCAGCCGAGCCGAGTTTTATTAGTTCTCTTCGGGGCCGATACCCAACACTCGCTAGCAAAATGCCGACGGGCGATGCCACAAAATAGCGTTAGCAGAGAGAAACGAGAGCGTCTCCGGCGCGACAATCTGGAGGTATCTCGTTACCTAGCTGAAAGGTGCTCTAGGTCTCGGAGCCAAGCTCGGTTTCAGCAGATGCTCACGTTACGTCAGCAACGGTAGGACGTTACGTCATGTCCACGTGTGCACCCGCAATGAACGTAAGAGCGCAGATACGAAAATACCGAGCCGTCTAAAATATAGGGCTGCGTGAACACTTATATCCTCGAATTGGCTGGACGCCAATTTGGCCGGTGATGCACTTATCGAACTCGATAACATAGTTGTTCGCATACGAGGCATGAGGAGGGGGAAGGGGTTGGAGGCGGGGTGGCGTGGACCGGAACATTCCAATTCAGCGTTCTCGTGTTCAGTTTTTGCTCATCACTATAATTTACTGGTTATCGCAGATTAAACTATGGCTTTACGCATTTGGAGGGCGATGGGAATTGGCATCATCCGTTTCCCACACGGGGAGGGCACTTCTCGCGGGTATGTGTTCGGGCCGGGATGGGGCTTGTAGGAGAGGGACGGGGACGAAGGAGGGGGAGGGGTGCGCTGGCTGCCTGCCCATGTGCTTCTCTCATCGATTGTGAAGTTACAGATTGTGGCTTCTCACACCGAAGGCGCCATACGATGAATCGCAGCGGCTCACGTGACTACTAGTAAGTGTTCACGCACTTGTTCTTAGTGCTGCACCCTCCCCCGTCGTGACCATCAGTTTCATGCCCACCGTTTTTGCAGTGCTTCTGGGAACGCATATCGCGGAGGCTTCGGCGCTCGGAGCGGCGGCACCGGTGGTATGCGCGGCGGGCTGAGTGGAGCCCGCTCTGGTGGTGGTAGCTCGTATGGCGCTGGCGCACGTGGAAGTGGCTCTCGTTTTCCGGACAGCAGCAGCAGCAGCAGCAGCTTCTCGAGCAGTCGAAAATACGATTTTGGTGGTATGTTCTTTCTTTTTTCATCCAAACTTTTTTGTGCTTCCGGTTGCGAGAGGTTGCTCTTTCGTTGGCATGTTAAGCAGCAGAATCTACAGCATCCAGGTTAACCCTAGAAGCCCAAGTGGCAAAGGCAAAAATAAAGGACAGTGTGAGAGAAGAAAGCCAGAGTGAGTTGAGACGTCTAGAGTCATATGCTCCTTAATTAACACTCTCTGAGCAACAGCTTCCGGTGGTTTTATTGCCTAGCCGAAATCGAGTAGTATGGGACAAATTGTTTTTTCGGTATGCAGCGTTGCGGAGTGCAGTTTGTCAAAGCTGATATTGAGAGCATTTCCCCGAGCCGCTGCACTGTCATGACAGATACTGATACCACCGCGTGAGGAGAAATTTAACGGGACAAAGAACCCGGGATTGTTCTGTTGTTTTTCTCTGGGAGTCAATAGGATCGGGGAAATAAAACCCGTGTCAAACTAAGTCGCCTTTATAAACCGACAGGAGATTTTTTTTGCATCCTGTGCATGAGAAAACAGCTGTGCAGTAGTGCTGGGAACTTATTGCGATTTGCACTTATGCTATAGCGAGTCGTTGTTCACATATATACATATATATGTGTGCATATGTATGTGTATTTATATATATACATATATGTATATACACGCATGTATACATATATATATGCATGTACATGTACACGTGTATATATACATACATATATGTACATGCACATATACGTATATTACACGTATGTACATACATGTGTATATACACATGTGCATATACACATATATATGTGTGTATGTATGCATATACGTGTGCACATATGTACACGTTTACATATGTGTGCACATATGTACATGTATATATGTATGTACATATATTTGTATTTTTTCAGGTACTCGTAGCGGTTCTGGAGGCGGAAACCTTCGTCCGATCGTTTGGAACCCAGAGGATCTTACTCCATTCCCAAAAAACTTTTATCGTGAACATCCGGTTATGGCCACTCGAGGACAGGTTTGCGTTGTTTTTAAAACGCGTTGAAGAAATGCAAACAGCTCAGCATATGTCACGAGGTTTTATGGCCAAGATTACGTCGAGTTTTGGAATATGCTGGCAAAGGGTGTTTTTTTTTTCAGGCTGAGCTGAGTCACTGGTGTGCGGAAAATCAGGTAACCGTGGAGGGCAGCGAACTGCCTCATCCAGTTTTTGAGTTCGTCGAAGCAGGCTTTCCCAAAGTCATCACGGACTTGCTTGTGCGGCATTTTCGAAAACCGACTATTATCCAGTCAATCTCGTGGCCGATTGCACTGAGTGGCCGAGACATGGTTTCGATAGCCAAAACAGGCTCCGGGAAAACACTCGCGGTAAACCTTTTTTTGTTATGGCAGACATTCACGCAATCGATGTTTTGAGCTGCAGGCAGTGCTAGGTCTCGAATCTGATCTCGGTGTGTGCTTCGTCGAAATGCATGCATTCGATCGCTTTTTCGTTTCGCCGAGTTAATCGTTGTTCATTTTTAGTTCATCCTCCCAGCAATTGTTCACACAATCGGCCAGCCAGATCGAGGTCGTCAAAAAGGCGCGTCAGTTCTGGTGCTCCTACCAACGAGGGAGTTGGCTCAACAAGTTGAAGACGTGGCCAAAGAGTATTGCAGAGTGACAAATCTTTCGATCACATGTCTGTTTGGTGGTGCTCCAAAAGCTACGCAGGCTCGTGATCTTGAGAGAGGTTCGTTTCGATTTGTTTGTTTTCTGGTGTGATAACTTTTTGAAAGCAAACCCCTTTCTACTATTGCTGCATTAATAATTTTGCAGGTGTTGATATCGTGATTGCGACTCCTGGCCGTTTGATGGATTTTTTGGAAGCGGGTAAGACGGATCTCCGACGTTGTACTTATCTGGTATTGGATGAAGCAGACAGAATGCTCGATATGGGATTTGAACCGCAAATTAGAAAGGTGGTTTCGCAAATAAGAGTAAGTCTTAGTTTACTTCGCATCCACTATTCTCTGAGCGACATATAGTGACCCTAAAGGTTAACTTGCTAGACTAGTGGCCTACCCCATGTGTGAGTGTGTGTGAAAACACCTAGTTATATACATATTTGTAATTACATGCCTTAACTATAGTAATACAACGTAAAGTAAGATAAGACAATACAAAAAGGGTGGTGGGGCTCTGGGAAGTCGGTGCTCCCCAGAACAGGGATAAGTCGAAAGGAATAGCTCTACTGATTAACTCTGGAATAGATTTGGGATTCCGGGGATGGGGAGGAGCGCCTTTATACACGGAGGTGAGAAAATACTAAATCTGCAAAACTTTAGCGGGGCAGGTGTCCAAAAGTTGAACCAGGGGCCGGAGTGTTGCGTCATAGAGACGCATTTGTTCCTTACGCTGTTTCTAATAAAAACCATAAATTACTATTTGACATATTATTTGATAAACATTTTTACCAGTTGATCTCATGATTTTACAGCCGGATCGACAGACTCTAATGTTTTCGGCAACCTGGCCGAGAGAGGTTCGAAAATTGGCGATGGACTTTCTGACGGATGCGGCACATTTGAATGTTGGATCTTTGGAGTTATCTGCAAATCATAACATCACACAGATCGTTGAAATCGTTGAGGAAGTGGACAAGCAACAGCGCTTGATAGCTCTACTCAGTGAGATCATGAATAAGGTCGGAAGGCATTTGCAAATTTTGACTCTTACTAATCACACGGTCTTTCACTGGTACAGTGCATGCCTCTTTTAGAACTATTACGTGAAATTATGCCGGGGTCGGCAAACAGAGACTGTTGGTTGTTATCTCGGCCAACGGCTGATTGCTGTTGATTATGTTTTATCATTTGGATTGCTCTTGTAAAGTATGACACATGTGGTAGGGGTTTTGAGTTTTGATGCAAAAACAGCTTAGCTGAATTTAAAAAAAAAAAAAAAAAAAGAAGTTCAAGTTTAGCAGTGCCAAATTTTTACGTAATTTTCATACGGTGCGTTTTTTTTTTTTCATGGCCTATCAGTAGATTGAATGCCCTGTGAAAGAATGAAAGTATAATTTTCATTCAGTTAACTTCTTCGAAACATCCATTTTGCTCAAGTTTACGTGCATGAATTGACAGTCTCTGCGCCAGCACCGTTTCAGGTGTGTTAACCTCATGTGATTTCCTCTCTTTCTGAGGGGACATGTACATAATATACACATTTCACAAGATTTTTGTGAGCGAGCATGTTTCAGGAGGATTGCAAAACGCTTATTTTTGTGGAAACGAAACGCAAAGCTGATGATTTAACACGCTGGATGCGTCGCGACGGCTGGCCAGCTCTCTGTATCCATGGTGACAAGGGCCAGTCGGAACGAGATTGGGCGTTAAATGGTAAATTTACGAGGTTAAAAATGACCTCCTCAAACACCTTGGCATCTTGAGTGCTTTTACATATTTTGGTTCGCACAGCTTATCAATCAGTATTGTTTGATTGATGCGTTATAATAACTGTGTTTAGAATTTCGGTCCGGCAAAACTCCAATCCTTTTGGCGACAGACGTGGCGGCACGTGGACTGGGTAAGTGTATCGTCACACGCATTCCTAGTAGACTGCGCTACAATCAAATCTGTCTTTATGTTTTCTTTTTTTTTTTTTCGCTGTTAAGGACAAGAGGCATCAGAATACGCTCATTTTGGTCATAAAATCCATGAGTGTTATTTTTTATTTTATTGCACACTTTTCGCATGCGCATAGGAAGGACACTGATGCAATTTTGTTTGTTTTTTCGTTTTTTTTTTGTATATGAGAAGTGTGTAGGTGCATTTCAGTAACTTGGGGAGATTGTTAGCAGCACTCAAGGATATTTTTTTTTTTTGTAGTAAGTGTGACACATACGTTGCACCTGGATAATGAGAAGTGGAAGAGATTGGTAGCAGCAGCTCATTTAGTCGTACCAAATGCGCAGCTCTGGTGGCACACATATTTATTTGTGCTTGTTAAAATTTGCTTTTCATATGCTGTTGCAACATATGTAATTTTGGAGTTACCGTGTAACACATCTCAGATATAATTATTATCGGGATGAGGAGGAGGAAGCTTTGTGCTTATGTTATGGCTCTGAACAGTGGCTGCTCTAACGCGCGTACATTTTGCATACAAATTTTGGATAAAAAAAGCGATTGACTCAGACGTTCGTGCTGTTCGTTTTTGAGCAGTTCAGGTGAGTGATGAAAAATTGCTCACTAGGAAAAAAAAAAAAGAATCACGATCAGCAGGCTTTGATGCATTCTCAAATATTCCAAGGTAATCGTTGAAATATGCGCGCGCGTACACAGAGAGTCATTGTTGCTGCGTGTGCAGATTGGTCGTCAGCTGAAGGGAAGATGTGGTCCGTGATAACATTGGACCGCAATCGTACCTTTGCGCAATTTGGGCCTCACAGCTGGAGGCCGGACCACCGGTCGCACACGCAAATTCATCGACAACACGATATTGTTATGGATTCAGTGGCCATACGACAGAGCTTCCTCTACTTGTTATAAAATTACCGATTTGAGAAAGCCAGGTTAGATTTCTCTTAGCGTCCATCATTCTCGAACAACTTATAAGATGTTGTAGCAGCTAGCGATACAGTCTTTTGTTGGATGCGCATTTTCACATTAAGCCCAAAAAACCTCCCTCGATTTTTGAGACGTTTCGTTTAAAATTTTTCGGAAGCGCTCTTTGCTTTCTCAGTTATTGTAGTGACTTGAAAAGTGGTTCCGGGCATCAGGAAATTGGATGTTACCTGTATTATGTGCACAGCTTGCTTTATTTACAAGTTATCAGTAACACAGGCAGCTGTGGATTGGATTTTACTTTCTTGCATGCCCCGCAATTGATATCCTGCATTAGGAAATCTCAAGTAGCGCAGTAGTGGATCACTTGTACTGCTAACTATTCCGGTCGGTTTTTGTTTGCCTGCTGTCCAATCTTACATTGGTATTTATTCCTTCTTTTTGACTTATTGCTAAATTTTACACTTCTTCGAAATTAACACAACATGCCTATTCTTGTCTCCTCTTTTCATTTTTATGCGTTTTTTGCAACAATGCAATGCGAAAAACGCATATTGACGAGAGGTTGTCTGTGTGTCCGTGTGTCTGTGTGTGTGCGTGCGCGTGTGTGTGCGTGCGTGTGTGTGTGTGTGCGCGCGCTGGGCCTCTGTACCGATTTTTCATCTCGAGACCGGCAAAAGCTACGGGGCTGAAACTTTGGGGACATAATCTGAGCACGTTCGAGCCCCCATCCCCAAAATTGGCGCCAAAACCCGCGTGGTACCCGCGTACGGGCCCCCTACGGGACCCTATCCCCAAAATTGGCGGTCTTTCCCGCGTGGTGCCGACGTAAGACCCCGCCAAAGTTTTTCACGGGTAAGCTGCTAACTCGCGAACCAGAAAAGGTAGGAAGCTGAAATTTTATAGGAATGTTCCCCGTCCAAGTAGGTACTAATGAGCTCAAATCCAGCCTCCGGGTAAACGTGGTACCCGCGTACGGGCCCCCCAAAATTTTTTCCGCGTAAATTCATAACTCGGGGATCTGAGATGCTAGAAAGCTGAAATTTTAGGGTTATGTTCTCCGTCCAAGCAGGTGCTAATGAGCTCAAATCCAGCCCCCGGGTAAGCGTGGTACCCGCGTACGGACTCCCAAAATTTTTCCCGCGCAAATTCATAACTCGGGGTTCAGAGATGCTAGGAAGCTGAAATTTCAAAATTTTTCCCACGTAAATTCATAACTCGGGGTTCTGAGATCCTACAAAGCTCAAATGTTAAGGCAATGTTCCCCGCCCAAGCAGGTGCTAATTAGCTCAAATCCATCCCCCGGGTAAGTCGTGATACCCGCGTACAGACCCCCCAAAATTTTTCCCGCGTAAATTAATAACTCGGGGGTTCTGAGAAGTTAGAGAGCTGGAATCCTTGGGGGGTGTTCCCTGTCTAAGTGGGTATTAACGAGTTTAGACCCTGCCCGCGGGTAAGCGTGGTACCTACGTACAGGCCCGTGAAAAGTTCCTTCCGGGTAAGT